GTATGGGCTCCCGCAGGCGATCTACCTGATGGCATCTGTCGCTACTCGCTTAAAACCTCGTGGCACGTGGCACGTGCGATTCCATTTTCCCCATGTTAAGTCAACGGGGTTTTGGACACTTTTTGCGCGATCGCCAATAGCGGGAAAACGAGCCAAGGAAGAGGTGATTTTCTTCCACGCATTTTATGGCAAACACGTTCTGGTACACGCCAGTGTGCGCCGTATACCCGTCAGAATTCGTTAACTTGAGTTGCACGAGTTTGAAGTTGAACTTTTTTCGCTCCCCATGTTAAGTCAATGGGCGTTTTTGCAGAGACATTTTCATTCGCTCATTGTACAAAATTATATGATACGATTTTGCTTTAACTTTCAGAACTTGTTGAGAAAAGACCATAGAACATGTTGTTATGCTTCGTTAAGCTGTCAGAATTCGTTTGCTCTTTTGAAGCTCGTTTAAAAATGAAAAATTTTAACATGGAAAGTCAATGGGAGCGTCTTTGCTGCTTAATAACTTTTTACGTTTAAGATATGTTTAAGTCAAAAGTTGATATTTTATACAACTTTTGATGCTCTTTCCAATGATATATACAACTTTATTGCACGTGCTGCCGTTTTTGAGAAATTTCGTAAAAAAGCACGACATCACCGAGATTTGAGCTCAGACCTATATCGTTACGGTGTTAGGCGGACACGAGGACAGGTGGCGCCGCCGCCGCCCGCATAGCGGCGGGAATGTGAACTAACCTGTTTACCATCTATGGTATGGTACCATCGGGGGACCGGCCGCCGTCGGCACCATTTCGGGACTTTGCATCGCAATAAAAGGCTTATTTACAATTGAAAATGGACTAGCGAGAGTCGTTATGGAATCAGAATTTGATGCTCTACAAAACTAGGCTATTTTCATTGTGATGGCATCACAGACTACACCGCTAACCCCAATAAAGCAGATTTATGTCGCGTCATCGATGATTACATATAATGTTTCTTTGATATATATGTAGTCGGGTCTTTCAGCTGCGTCCCTCCCCTCCCTCGCCGCGCCGGCGGGTCGGCCATCCGCGGCTTGCCGCCCGCCGGCTGCTGGCCGGTCAGCTGTCGCCCGCGGCTGTCGGTGCAGTGCGGGATGCCTACTTGCGGGGGGCCGTCGTGGCGGCGGCCCGGGTGGACTGGGCGAGCAGTGAGTTGGGGAGCGCTGCGCTGTCGGTGCTCTAGTTTGTATTGCGTTCGCATGATACGGCTTGAGCCAATACAGAGTGAACTGATTGAGCTGAGCAAGTCTTTATATACATTGAAAAGCACTTTTTACATTGCACTTTTTACTGCATCTACGGTGAGATGCTAGATAAAATTTATGGTCTACCTAATGGTACCCATTACTTAACAATTAAGTGAATCATTTCGTCGCTAAACTCTCGTAAATTCGTATGTCCGCCTCACTATGGAGTTTGGACCGTAACGTATGGCCTTTGCTCAGACAGTATACGAACAGGTGACGGGGATACCTCCCATAGAAGGATGCGACGCGATTTTACTGCTAAATAGCGGCCGGCCGCCGTGGGGACGTTTTTGTACGACTTATATCTCGGCAACCACTGGGCTGATACACGTGCGGTTTTTTGTGTGGGGTAGCTTTTTCCCTTCTTTCACATAGTGTGCTACTCTCGATGCATATGGGTGACCCCTAACGCACGTTCCACGTGCAAAGCCAAGAGGTGCCTGTTTTGTGATAAGCGCAATAGCTCGCGGTAATTACTGGGCCGATTGCGCTAAAACTTGGCATGGAGGTAGACACTTTCCAGGCGATGCATTTCCATGTGTCTTGGTAGGGGTGCAACTGCACGTGCGCACGTGCAGGGTGACGCTTCCAGATCTCGAGAACGGCTGGACCGATTGTGTTCAAATTTGGCATAACGCTTGATACCGATCAGTAGGTTGCAGTCATTTAGTATGCATTTCCATTTGCCACGATTGGGGTGCAACTGCACGTGCGCACGTGCAGGGTGACGCTTCCAGATCTCGAGAACGGCCGGGCCAATTGTGCTCAGATTTGGCACACCGCTAGAGATCGCGTAGTAGGGTGTCTTGCACAGGTCTGCTGGGCCCCAGGTTGCACGTGCGCACGTGCAGGGTGACGCTTCCAGATCTCAGGAACGGCTGGGCCGATTGCATTCAAATTCGGCACACCTTTAGAGACCGGTTAGTAGGGTGCTGTGCACAAGTCAGTTAGTATGTATACTCATGTGTCTCGGTTGGGGTGCAACTGCACGTGCGCACGTGTAGGGGTCGCTTCCAGATCTTGAAAACGGCTTTGCCGATTGAGCTTAAATTCGGTACACCGCTAGAGACCGGCAACTAGGGTGCCGTCCACAAGTCATTTGGGACCCAGCTTGCACGTGCGCACGTGCAGGGTGAGGCTTTCAGATCTCAGAAACGGCTGGGCTGATTGCATTCAAATTCGGCACACCTTTAGCGGCGTTACAGAGGTGCTTGCTCAAACAACCTGCGGTCCCGCGATGCGGAGCCCAGCATCGCAGATGCTGGTAACCGCAGGTTGTTTCTTCATAACCGCAGGTTGTTTGAAAAGACAAACACTATTCGTTAGAATTGTGTTTTTCTATTGAAAAACAACCGGAGCGGTCCTTCTCCGGGCTATGTTTTGCAAGTCTGGCCGCGAATCAGTAACCGCAGGTTGTTTGAAAAGACAAACACTATTCGTTAGAATTGTGTTTTTCTATTGAAAAACAACCGGAGCGGTCGTTCTCCGGGGTATGTTTTGCAAAGTTGGCCGCGAATCAGTACAACTTGGGTGGGGCCTAAACGTGCATTGCGATTTTCGTAAAAAGTTCAGGGTATGGGCTCCCGCTAACCGCAGGTTGTTTGAAAAGACAAACACTATTCGTTAGAATTGTGTTTTTCTATTGAAAAACAACCGGAGCGGTCGTTCTCCGGGGTATGTTTTGCAAAGTTGGCCGCGAATCAGTACAACTTGGGTGGGGCCTAAACGTGCATTGCGATTTTCGTAAAAAGTTCAGGGTATGGGCTCCCGCAGGCGATCTACCTGATGGCACCGGTCGCTACTCGCTTAAAACCTCGTGGCACGTGGCACGTGCGTTTCAATTTTCGCCCATGTTAAGTCAATGGGGTTTTGGACACTTTTGCGCGATCGCGAATAGCGGAAAAAAATCGCCGATCAAGGTATGGTTTGCTGCACACCATTTTATGACCGACACGTTCAGGTACACGCCCGTGGGCGCCGTATACCCGTCAGAATTCGTTAACTTGAGTTGCACGAGTTTGAAGTTCAACTTTTTTTGCTCCCCATGTTAAGTCAATGGACGTTTTTGCAGAGACATTTTCATTCGTTCATTGCACAAAATTATATGATACGATTTTGTTTAAACTTTCAGGACCTGTTGAGAAACGACCATAGAACATGTTGTTATGCTTCATTATGAAATATAATGGGTATAATGGGCCCGTTTTGGGGTAATCGGCACGTGCATTTTCCCATAGGGTTAGCATGGGGAAAATTCAAAATGCGATTTGCGAAAAATTTCGTCAATTATTGTGATTTAATGTTACCGCTTGAAAGGGCGTTGTTTCAAAAGTGCACGTGAACTGGTCATTTATTTGTTAAGTGAATTGAATGTTCTGCTTTTTGGGTCAGGTGGGGTGAGGCCCTGGCAAGAAGGGAAGATTGCTTGGGGCTTAGGGGCATCTGGGAGGAGTATGACTTATGAGTAAAGTGATTGTGTGGAAGACTCGTGTGGAAAAGGCGTAGGCCGGCTTTGGTGATCCGGTGATTCTTAGTGTCAATTGTGAGTACTGATCATGTTTGTTCATTAATACGAAAGATAACTTATCGGACTGCGGACAGTTTTGGTGTCGAAGAGATCAAAGGACGATAAATCTAATCAAATTCCTACAAGCTATTTCGGCATTCCTTTTCGTTTTAGACATTATTTCAATTCAACCATGGCAAGTTTCGATGTGAGATTGATCCCAGAATTCGACGGTACTGGGGATGTTGTCGACTGGATCGAAAAGGTGGAAATGGTATGCAATCTTCAGCAACCGGCTGCAGATCAAGTGGTAGTCATACCACTGCGATTGAAGGGTGGCGCTTCTGCTGTTTATCGGCAGCTGCCTGAAGTGGACAGGAGAGAGGCGGTTAAAGTAAAGGCGGCTCTACGACGCGCCTTTGCCGCTGATAAATACACTGCGTATGAAATGTTCAGCGCACGTCGGCTGGGCACGGGAGAATCGGTAGATGTGTATTTGGCAGACTTGCAACGGCTGTCAACCCTCTTTGGAGGGCTCTCCGAAGAAGGGATGGGATGCGCTTTCGTTGCCGGCCTACCCGAATCTGTGAAGCAAATTCTACGGGCCGGCGCTCGCATGGAGTCATTGACTCTATCTGAAGTCGTGGATAGGGCCAGAGCCATCCTACGGGAAGACTGCAAGGTACCCGATATAACGGCTATGGTGGTGCGACGGGGAAGAGACGGCCAAGACCAGCGCTTCAATGGAGGGAGGAAGGAGCGAGGGCCGTGTTACGCGTGCGGTCGTCTGGGACATATCGCGCGTGAATGTCAGGCGCGTGAAGGAAACGGTCCAAGCATGGTGAGATGTTTCCGGTGCAACAAGCGTGGGCATATCGCGGCTCAGTGCCCGGAAAACGAGGAGCGAGAGGCGGTCCATGCGCCGGCCTCCTTTCGGGACTGAGATGGAACGGCGCGCTGCCGGTGAGGGAGCTATCGATGAACGGAGTTGACTGTGATGTCTTAATTGACACGGGATGTACTCGCACTGTGATTCATTCGTCACTCTGCGCTGTTTGGGAGAAGCGGGACGTGTACGTGCTGACGGCCAACGGGGAGAGGCTGGAATGTGCGGGTACGGCTGGTGTTCGTGTGCAGGTTCCGGGGATGGCACCAGTAGTTGTTGATGCACTTGTGGTTGCTAAGAAGCCGCTGGGATTCAGTGCGATTCTCGGCATGGATGGAGTGGGGGCTCTCGGGGGAGTAGCGGTGCGATCGCCCTCTGAGGTAAAGTTCGCCGGCGAGAACGAAGCATGTGGCTGTGTGGGGGACCTGCAAGATCTGACTGTTGATAAGGAAGACTTCCGTGTCGTTTTCGCTGCGGAGCTGCAGCGCTGGACAGTGGAATGGAAGTGGTCCGGTGAGGAGCCACCAGTTCGCCTCAAGAATGGAGTGAGCGAGTATACTGTGCCGGATGAGGTCAGAAAGGACTATGAAGAGGAGATTGAGACCTGGATCAAGAACGGATGGCTACTAGAATACGATGAAGAAGAACACGGTCCCCCGAAAAGCCTGATTCCACTCATGGCAGTGGTCCAAGAGAATAAAGGGAAGGTGCGACCCGTGCTTGACTTCCGCGAGATCAACACATTTGTCGACACGTACACGGCAGATGTTGATGTGTGTGACGAGAAGCTCCGCGAATGGCGTCAGATGGGAGCGAACGTAGCGCTTCTGGACCTCCAGAAAGCATACCTTCAGATACATGTAGACGAATCTCTGTGGCCTTACCAGACTGTCGAGTACAAAGGAACAAGATACTGTCTGAGTCGACTTGGATTTGGCCTGAACATCGCACCAAGGGTGATGAAGACAGTCCTCGAGGCAGTGGTGAATCAAGACAAGGACGTGGCAAAGGCAGTGTCATCATATGTCGACGATGTCTTGGTCAATGAGGATGTGATGTCCGCGGAAAATGTGAGCAAACATCTTCGAGCCTTTGGGCTCCAGTGCAAGGAACCAGTACGACCAAAAGAAGGCGCTCGGATTCTCGGTCTCCGAGTTCAGGAAGAGCATGGCAACCTCAAATGGAAGAGGGACAACGACGTCCGAGAGATCGACGGGCCGGTGACGAAACGCAAGGTGTTCTCGCTTTGCGGCCGTTTGACTGGACACCTTCCGGTGTGTGGCTGGCTGCGGCCAGCGGTGTCGTTCTTGAAGCGAAAGGCTAATGAAGCGGCGAACGCTTGGGACGACGTCATCGAGGACAGTTTAGTGAATGGGCTGATCGAAGAGATAATGACGCAAATTAACACAGATGACCCAGCGAGAGGTCAGTGGGACGTCAAAGGGAACGAGGTGACGGTCTGGGCGGACGCCAGCATGTTGGCCTTGGGAGTGGTCCTCGAGATCGAGGGCGAGGTGGTGGAGGACGGATGCTGGCTGCGACCAACCGACGGAACACATATCAACATGGCAGAACTTGATGCCGCGCTGAAGGGCGTCAACATGGCCATCCTCTGGGGTGCTAAGAGAGTTCGACTGATGACGGATTCGCGTACTGTGTACCATTGGATCACTGACCTCCTGAGCGGCAAAGCACGGTTAAAGACGAAGGCCGTCTCGGAAATGCTTATCAGGCGAAGGCTGAGTACACTGAAGATGCTGGCCGACGAGTACAGCCTGGAGATCAGCGTTCACAGCGTGGCCTCTGCTGACAACAAAGCTGATAAGCTCACCAGAGTGCCGGAGCGGTGGCGAGACACGCGTGCAGGCAGCGGTCCGGCTTGCATCATGGCGGGTGCAGAAGGAGACGAAGATGAAGCCGGGCTAGTGAAGGAGGTGGAGCGGGTGCATCATGCCGCTGGACACCCAGGTGTCAGAAGAACTTTGTACTTTTCCAAGAGGGCAAACTTGCGGGTCACCAAGCGTATGGCACGATCTGTTGTATCAGCTTGTCAGACGTGCCGGTCGATCGACCCGGCACCGGAGAAGTGGACTGGCGGACAGCTGTCGGTAGACATTGTCTGGGAGCGCGTCGCAGTTGATGTCACGCACTTCCAGGGGCGCCTCTATCTGACGATGGTAGACTGCGGACCATCAAGGTTCGCGATTTGGCGCCAGCTGCGATGTGAGAGCGCGGCGTACGTCACAGGGGAGATGTCATCGATTTTCTACGAGAGGGGAGCACCTTCAGAGCTGCTGGCCGATAATGCTACCGTATTCCGCAGCCGCGCATTTCAGGCATTCGTCCGTGAATGGGGCACCCGGGTGCGGTACCGAGCAGCGTACGCACCATCGGGTAATGGCATCGTCGAACGAAATCACCGCTCCGTGAAGGTGATTGCTGCGAGGAAGGGATGTGGCGTGCCGGAGGCGGTGTATTTGTACAATGCGACTCCGAGGGACGACTCGACCGACGCAGCAACCCCTGTCAGCATGGTGTACAAGTACACAGTGAGAGTCAAGGCAGTGGATCCGGTTCAGCCCGCTGAAGAGCCCGAGCCAGATACATGCAGGTACAGCGTGGGAGATGCGGTGTGGGTGAAATCAGCGCGGGGGCGATGTGACGATCAGTACAACGAGGGAGTGGTGACTGGGCGAGTGTCACTGCAGACTGTGGAAGTGGATGGGGTGCCAAGACATGTGCGCCACCTGCAGCCCCGTGAGGCGCACGTGGAACAGCCTCAGAGTGATACCGCAGATGACGAAGGGCCGCTCCTTGTGCGTCTCCCAGAGGAGAACCGGGAGGAGATGGGTCAGGGAGAGGGACAGTGCCGGCGGTCCCAGCGGCAGGTGCGGGCTCCCATGCGGTACGGTTTCGATCAGGATCGGGGAGGAGTGTGATTTAATGTTACCGCTTGAAAGGGCGTTGTTTCAAAAGTGCACGTGAACTGGTCATTTATTTGTTAAGTGAATTGAATGTTCTGCTTTTTGGGTCAGGTGGGGTGAGGCCCTGGCAAGAAGGGAAGATTGCTTGGGGCTTAGGGGCATCTGGGAGGAGTATGACTTATGAGTAAAGTGATTGTGTGGAAGACTCGTGTGGAAAAGGCGTAGGCCGGCTTTGGTGATCCGGTGATTCTTAGTGTCAATTGTGAGTACTGATCATGTTTGTTCATTAATACGAAAGATAACTTATCGGACTGCGGACAGTTTTGGTGTCGAAGAGATCAAAGGACGATAAATCTAATCAAATTCCTACAATTATATTTGCTGATATTTTTAGGGTCTGATCTCGGGCTGGCACCCCAACTGACGGTGGTAATTATTTAAAATATAATTGACAAAATTTCGGGTAATCGTCACGAACAGTTACCCCATGTTGAGCCTATGGCGATTTCGAAATATTATTTTCAAATCGATTTTGTCAAAAATTTCCACGTTAGATTTTGAAAATGTTCCAATATGTTGTGCCCCGGGGTGTCGGCTACCACATGGTATGGGTCAGATATGGGGCGATTGAAAAGCACGTGCCACGTGCAAACGTGTTTGATGGGGTAACCTCCGGGAAAATCCGATATTGGCCTACTCGGGGTCCTATGGCGTGGAAACGACTTCAACTAGCGACACCAAATCAGTGCAGCCGGTGAGCAGATGAGTCCAGCTTGTCGCACTAGTGGTCACGTGTCGCACGTGCTATTGCACGTGCCGTGGCACGGGGTCAATTTTGGTGCTTAAACATACTAGCATTGTGAAATGCAAGGAGTGGGGGAAATAGCCGTCAGGCCGTCAGTTTTTATGATAGGGTCGATCTGAAAATGGGTTTAGGCACAGAATGAAGGGGGCTACAAAACTGCTATCTCGGATTTTTTGTAAAATGAAAAATTTAAAATTCTGGGGAAATTATATATTCGGAAGGTGAAATTTCCCTAGATTTTCCCGTTTTTCGAGTTTAGCCGTCCACTGTTCAGAGACGGTGACACCGGCCGGGGTCATTTTTTACATGCTGATGGCCACGTCAATGGGTCATCACGTGGCGTGAACGGTGAAACTATCAGAGGTCCGGCACGTGCCACGTGGCCACGTGTTTGAGTCGCGTACCTCCCAGATTATCGTGTGTTTGCCGATTTGTGGCCTTATAGCACGAAAACTGCACAAGCCAGGAACACTGAAATGGTGCAATCAGTGAGGGGACAAGTCCTGCTTACACCACCGGCGGTCACTAGGCACACGTGCAGATTTGGGCACCTCCGTTGCGGAGATATTTTATTGTGAAATATTCAAATGAACATAACTTTGTCAGTTTAAGTCCAATTGGGCTAGACTTTGGTGGGTGGATAAAATTGTTAAGTGACAGGAACGAATGCGCCACGTTTGTCGCAGTGCGCCACGTTTGTCGCAGTGCGCCACGTTTGTCGCAGTGCGCCACGTTTGTCTCAAAGCGCCATTTTTGCCGCAAATCACAGAATGTGCGTAACTTTATCGAACATGGGACGATTAGGATGCGCTTTGATTGAGGGATGGCTGCCTAAACGGCAAATATGAATACACCACACTTGCCGCAAGGCGCCATATTTGTCTTAATGCGTCAGTGTTTACGTTTAACGGACGGTATTTGCATGTGCCACGGTTGGGGTGCCGCTGCACGTGCGCACGTGTAGGGGTCGCTTCAAGATAGCACACCGACTCCGGTCTGCACGTGCAAGGCTCATCCTCTCGTTTGGCGGCGGGCGTTTTTGCTGCGTTTACTAAGGTGCTTGCTCAAACAACCTGCGGTCCCGCGATGCGGAGCCCAGCATCGCAGATGCTGGGCTAACCGCAGGTTGTTTCTTCATTGACAAACACTATTCGTTAGAATTGTGTTTTTCTATTGAAAAACAACCGGAGCGGTCCTTCTCCGGGCTATGTTTTGCAAAGTTGGCCTGAAATTGGGGCAACTTGACGGGGGCCTAAACGTGCATTGCGATTTTCGTAAAAAGTTCAGTGTATGGGTTCCAGCAGGCGATCTACCTGATGGCACCGGTCGCTACTCGCTTAACCCGCGCCCTGCTGGGGGGGTGTTTGAACACCCCCCCTTGTGGTTTTTCGCGAATATCTCAAAAACGGCGGCGCGGAGCGCCGCCGTTTTTGGTACACCTTATCATACATCAATTCTACACATGTTGTGAAAATTTCAGACCAAGGTCATTCAAGGTCAGGTCACCAGGTCACTTGAAGTGACCTCACCTCATAAAAACTTTCAATGTCTGTCATAGCTACACCGAGTGACCGATCGCTTTGAAACTTTCAGCGATTGCTAAGAGCAATAGCATGTACAAAATGTATATCTCAGAATTTTGATATCGATGACCTAAGGTCAGGTCAATTTTGCGACCTCCCCATTATAAGTCAATGGGAGAAAATTGAAATGCGCCTCTTTTGGATGAAAGACATTATAAACACTCCCAAACACTGAATTACAAGTGGTTTAGACACACTGAACTTGAAAATGGTGTCCGTGACCCTTGTTTATGCCCTGAGGTCATCTTAGGTCACGAATGGTATATAACAGTTTTTCGCAAATAACTTTTGATAGAGGCATGCTAGAGCGCTGAAAACGCCTTAGATGTGTTCAGCTCGACGATACGGATCGACTGATATGCAACATGACCCTTTCCGGTCAGGTCATGACCTTGACCTGAGGTCAAATTTTCAAGTTGACCTTTCAAGGTCAAGTCATAGTTCATTCGATGCGTCTTGACGAGAGAAACACGATGCCGGTAAAAGTAAGCTCGTACAAGGCTTGGGTCAAAAGTTATTGCAGAAAAACTGTTTTCGAAAAAATCGGCTATTTTTGCAGTTTTTGCCCCCTGCAGGCAAAACTGTTGACGTTAGGTCAAATCTGAGAGAATTACTCAGAAAGGGTGTTAATAGGGCTATCGAATGCGCTTTTCCGCGGCGCTGTAGCTCTATTGGTTCCCGAGTTATGCGTTGGCTTCTTGGAAATTTTCGACATTCGACCTGGGAATCGGCGAAATTTTGCCTTCAATGACCTCTGGTGACCTGACCTTTGACCTGACCAAAAAATTGACCGAAGTGATTTCGTCATTATTTTTGACGCTCTTTCGAACGCCGCCTTCCGCGTATCGCTACGTGGCCCAGGAGCCGAGTTACAAGGGGGGGTGTTCAAACACCCCCCCCCCCCCAGCAGGGCGTGGAAATCCAGGACCCCCAGCAGGGCGCGGGTTAAAACCTCGTGGCACGTGGCACGTGCGTTTCAATTTTCGCCCATGTTAAGTCAACGGGGTTTTGGACACTTTTTGCGCGATCGCGAATAGCGTAAAAAATCGCCGATCAAGGTATGGTTTGCTGCACACCATTTTATGACCGACACGTTCAGGTACACGCCCTTGGGCGCCGTATACCCGTCAGAATTCGTTAACTTGAGTTGCACGAGTTTGAAGTTGAACTTTTTTTGCTCCCCATGCTAAGTCAATGGACGTTTTTGCAGAGACATTTTCATTCGTTCATTGCACAAAATTATATGATACGATTTTGTTTAAACTTTCAGGACCTGTTGAGAAACGACCATAGAACATGTTGTTATGCTTCGTTATGAAATATAATGGCCCGTTTTGGGGTAATCGGCACGTGCATTTTCCCATAGGGTTAACATGGGAAAAAATTAAAATGCGATTTGCGAAAAATTTCGTCAATTATATTTGCTGATATTTTTAGGGTCGGATCTCGGGCTGGCACCCCAACTGACGGTGGTAATTACTTAAAATATAATTGACAAAATTTCGGGTAATCGTCACAAACAGTTACCCCATGTTGAGCCTATGGCGATTTCGAAAAATTATTTTCAAATCGATTTTGTCAAAAATTTCCACGTTAGATTTTGAAAATGTTCCAATATGTTGTGCCCCAGGGTGTCGGCTACCACATGGTATGGGTCAGATATGGGGCGATTGAAAAGCACGTGCCACGTGCAAACGTGTTCGATGGGGTAACCTCCGGGAAAATCCGACATTGGCCAACTGGGGGTCCTATGGCGTGGAAACGACTTCAACTAGCGAGACCAAATCAGTGCAGCCGGTGAGCAGATGAATCCAGCTTGTCGCACTAGTGGTCACGTGTCGCACGTGCTATTGCACGTGCCGTGGCACGGGGTCAATTTTGGTGCTTAAATATACTAGCATTGTGAAATGCAAGGAATGGGGGAAATAGCCGTCAGGCCGTCAGTTTTTATGATAGGGTCGATCTGAAAACGGGTTTAGGCACAGAATGAAGGGGGCTAAAAAACTGCTATCTCGGATTTTTTGTAAAATGAATAATTTAAAATTCTGGAGAAATTATACATTCGAAAGGTGAAATTTCCCTAAATTTTCCCGTTTTTCGAGTTTAGCCGTCCACTGTTCAGGGACGGTGACACCAGCCGGGGTCATTTTTTACATGCTGATGGCCACGTCGATGAGTCATCACGTGGCGTGAACGGTGAAACTATCAGAGGTCCGGCACGTGCCACGTGGCCACGTGTTTGAGTCGCGTACCTCCCAGATTATCGTGTGTTTGCCGATTTGTGGCCTTATAGCACGAAAACAGCACAAGCCAGGAATACTGAAATGGTGCAATCAGTGAGGAGACAAGTCCTGCTTACACCACCGGTGGTCACGTGGCACACGTGCAAATTTGGGCACCTCCGTTGCGGATGTATTTTATAGTGAAATATTCAAATGTACACAACTTTGTCAGTTTAAGTCCGATTGGACTAGAATTTGGTTGGTTGATGAATTGTTAAGCGACATGAACGAATGCGGCACGTTTGTTGCAGTGCGCCACGTTTGTCTCAAAGCGCCATTTTTGCCACAAAGTGCAGAATGTGCGTAACTTTGTCGAACATTGGACGATTAGGATGCGCTGTAATT